TTGATTGTTCTGGAACTCGTTTAGGCTCTATATCTACATAAATATAATTTTCAAGATAATTAGTTGAAGCCTAAACCTTATAACTTGATGTTAATAACTTAAGCTAGTTTAATGAACCAAAATTCCATTTTTCCTTTAGGGGTGTATCGATGCACTATGGGTGCATCGGTACACAAAATAGCTTCGAAATTCCCATGCATCGATGCCTACCTGTATGCATCGATACACACTGAATAATTTATGGAAATTTACCCTTGATGCATCGATACATGTTGAATGTGTACCGATGCACACTAGTCCAGAATTCCCATTTTATGCACGTGAATTACTTCCTTCTAATTTAATTGTCATGTTTCAACCCCTTTCATATCCTTAACTCACATACACATGCTTAAACTCATTTATATCCATTTATCTCATCTTTAATCTCAAAATTTCATCTTTCATATGGAAATCAATAATCATACAAAAATGTCAATATGTTCTAAATCCAATTATATCACTTCATATCTCTTAATTAAGTTGCTAACAAGTCAAATTTAGTTTCAAATTCAACTTATCAACTCTTTTCCAAAAATTCACTTAAAACCCATTTTCTTTAATCTTTCATAACTTATTCATCTTTTGATCTTAAGATAACTTAAGCTTTCCTTAAGCTTAGTTATCGTCTAATGATCAAAACCCAACCTTTAAATCAACAAATGATCAACAAATTCGAAAACTTACCTTGCAAGCTTGGCTCTCTCTTTCTCTCGTACATGAAGAAGAAGAAGAAGATGATGAAGTAGAGAAAATATCTCCTCATCCTTATCCCCACATGGTTATATATCATTTAATTATCATTTCCAAGTCAAATGACCTTTTTGCCCTTTAATTCTTTTAATAATTATTAACAACTTTCAGGAAATATCTCCACATAAATCATTGAACTATTCAACTATTCTACTTTAATCACCAAATTCTGAAATTTTACAATTTGGTCACTAACCCGTAGTTTGGGATGTTACATGGCATGTCAATTGTACTAGTGACTCTCAATGAATATACAATGAGCTTTTCTTATCAAATCATATTCCATTCATTTATTAAAAGTATCAACAGATATTAACATATCAAACTATCATATACGAGTGTATTGGGCAGTTCATACTCAAAATCATCCATAAACCATTTAGTAAAATATCATATAAAATGTATTAGGTAATTCATTCCCAAAATCAACTGAATACCATTTTGTAAAACAATATGAAAATAAATCAAAATATGAGTTAATTTTTTTCTTTCTAAATCATTTGATATTAACTCATCGTAAGTCTTCCTCATGTCATATATATATATATATATATATATATATATATAATAGGTAAGATGCACTCACCTGATATGCCTTAATATCAAACCTTTACTTTCGATATAAACCTCACTCGCGTACTTTTTCCTTAGCTTTATGTTTGCCTATACGAACATCATTTTCAAAACATGTACAATTCAGATCACTTTTTAATTTCATACTAACATAGGTGTATATTAGGAATAAAATTCCTAAAAATTATTTCGACACTAATTCGATACTAATTTCATCTCATACGATCAATGTCAACTTAAAAACTTAAAAACGACATCTCAAATTTCTTTATTATTCATATTTACCACTAATGCATATAACATTTGCAAACTTCACATCTTAACAATTGATTATGATTTCTTTTTAGAATTCATCTTGACTTTTCCAATTTATTCAAAATTGTCTCTTCCCATTAACTTCAAATATAAGCTTTCAACATCACAATTAAACATTTCAACATTTAATTCAAATATAGCCCATCAACGTTTTGAACAATTTCTATTCCAAGCCCAACTTTCATACAATTTGTGATTTGGTCCCTAAGGTTGTAAAAACTTCTAAATTGATCCAATCAACCTTCTAACATAAAAATAAACATTTTAACATTTCATTTCAGTATAGTAAATCAAATTTTAAATAATTTCACTTCAATCCCTTAATTTTCCATAATATACAAAATGGTCCCTATAACTTTACAAAATTCCAAATTGATTCAAACCACATTCTAAAGCTTGTAGAACTTTTCAAACACCATTTCTAGCTTTAGTAATTTTTTCCATAATTTTTCCTTATTATTCCTCTATAGGCAGAATATTATAGAGTTTTTCATGCTTTATTTCCAACTTGATTCAAGCATGAATTCAACTTCTATTCATCAATTCCATGCAATTACAACAAATTCCATATAAAAAATAATCCATAATCAAACTTTTATATAAACCCAAATTAACCAAACTTTGATTCAAATGATTCCATAACATCAAGTACATCAAAATCCATCCTTAAGTCATAAAAAGCTAACATCCCCTTCATCCATAAATCTCATGAACTTGTGATTTAAGCATGGAAAGCATGAACAAATTACACCAAATGATAGAGAATTTCATGTAGGTACATTTTCTATTTCATGCTTTCATCCAAAATCCAAGTAATTAAGCTTCTTAAAAATTAAAATTTCCTTACGTTGGTTATGGAGGTCACGACTTATAGCTTGAAGATGAATAGAGTTCTTGGTTTTCCATGTAAAATGTCTAATACACATGGCTTTAAACCATTGAAAATTAATTTTATGCTAAAAGACCTTTTTACCCTTTAAAAATGATAATAATTACCAAATTACCATGGTACATCATGCTTTTATCATCCTTACATCATCAAAGTCAAATATAGACAAAGATTTTATCATCTTCCAACTTTGCCCTTTTAGTTTTCCTGAAATTACAATCTTACCACTTTAATCCAATGGTCCCAATTTAACATGGAAAATCAACTTAAATCTAATGATCCATGTTAAATTCTACTAATTTAATATATGAAAATGACATTATTAACCTTCAATGTCATCCTTCAAAATTTCCTAAATTTTTAATTCGATCTGATTATCTAAATATTTTACTGAACCTTATCGCCTTATAGTTTTTAATACAAATTCCATATCGAAAATCTGATTCCCACGAAAATGACATTCTTTAGGGTGAACTATTCATTTACAGACTAAAATTTATTTTCAAAAAATTATCACTTAGATCCTTGAACTTTGCTAAAATTTTATATTTTAGCCAATGAACTTTCAAAAATTACATTTTGACCACTAATCAAAATTTTGAGATATTACGGTTGCCATCCTTAATCATATAGATGAAAGGCTTATCTTCCAAAAGCACTGTTGACTAGGTGTATTTATAAATAATTTTTTATGTGTCATTTTATTAAATACTTTTTAAAAATAGTATTTACAAAATTTATCACCTAATGTTTATACTTTTAATGTATTTTGTTGTTATTTTTTCAACTAAAAGTTTAACTTTCAACCTTTTTAGGCAAATCAATGCGATTTCAATGATTAAATTATTAATTTTTTTTAATTCATGTAACGACTCACATAATAGTTTTTTATGTGTATTTTAATAATTGAAAGTATGGCATCATTAAATAATTTTAAATTAAAAAATATATTTAAAAATTAATTTATTATAATATGTAAAATAATAAATATTGTTATATTAATTTAATATTATACTAATATTAACACGGACGTAAACTTTTATGCTATTGTAAAAATTTGACAACTCAATTATTATTTGGATAAAGTATACAAATGATCCCCTAATTATAAGACATTACTTTGTTAAGTCTCCGACTATAAAACTTATAAAATGATCATCCAACTATAAAGTGTTACATTGTTGACTCTATTTATTATTAAAGTTATAAAATGATCATATGACTTCATATGTTCCAAACTCATCTTTTTCCATTAAAAAATTAAAGATTGTTTGAGCGGAATGTTAATATGTTATTGGGATATGATAAAATTTGATCATAGAATCTCAAACGATTATAATATCACAATCAGCATATCAACATTTAACTCAAACGACCATCAATATTTTTAATGAAAAAAGACAAATTTGAAACATATAAATAGTCCAGTGACTATTTTACAACTTTTAATAGTCAAGCTCAACAAAACAACATTTTATAGTCAAATAACTATTTTATAACTTTTAATAATTGAGAATCTCAACAAAGCAATTCACAGATACTTTAAAATAATAAATAGACTTTGAATTTTTGGTATAGTAAAACATTAATTTAGACTTTAGAATTACTTTAATGTTTATTAAAAAAATTAATAGATAAGTAATTTATCATTTTTTATTGAATGAAATAATTTGTTAAGATAATTACTAAAAATTTATATTAGAAATATTAACGAGTTTCTCGCTAACTCATCAAGTCCAGTTGAACGTTGCTCGACTCAACTCGTTAAGTTATCAAGTGAAGATCGAGTTCGAGTAAAATCAACCCCTTTTACAAAATTTTGACCGAATCAAATTCGAAGTGCTCACAAATTGCTAATCTCATTAAACACACTCCATGTAACTGCTTGAAAGTCGACATGCACAAAGTTAGCTCAACTCGGTAAACATTCGCTGCTACTAATAGTAACTTATTTGAAACCGATATTATTACAAATTTATGTGCAAAATATCATTTTGTGATAAATGTAATTAATGGCTAAATTTCATTAAATTGCCTGTTAACTACTTGGTGATGCGAATTCTTCATATTTTATGTACATTTTGATTCATAAGAGGTTTCAAATATACTTTAAGAAATTCAAAGAATATGGGGGGGGGGGGGTGGAGAGAAGAACACTAAAAACAAACCAATAATCATGACACATGGTAAAATATCATATTACAAAATCTTACACAGAGATCAAACTCGTAAATTTCTCAGGAATCAGCACACAGTATTAAAAGAGGGTTAACAAATCCCATCAAAGATAAAAAATCATGGACTATCGTTAGAATAGGTTAGATCATCAAAAATCTCTGGCCGAGCAAACTCAATCAAACAGACAAGCAATTACTATCACTAACGGATTAAAGATATTTTACCGGATTTTATGAAGCCCTATTTTGTTTTTCCTTTTGCTTAATGACTATGAACTCGCCGTGCCTACCGAATCACTCGCTTCTGACTGTAGCTGAACGGCATTCTCTTGTTTGATAGACTGTTCTTTTAACATCCTTACATAATCAACATAAACGGCATCGTCCTCTGCTCTGCACGGAGTCGTCAAAATATTACGGTAACCATGCCTCCGTTTACGAGATAATGGATCCAGATCGTCCTGCAAATTGCAATCACAAATAAATAAGTTAATAAAACCGAGAAAATGATTAATCAATGGAGAGGAGAAGGAAAATAAGAAGAGGATTTGAAATGAAATAACAAAAAGAAAACAAAAACAAACCTTATAACGAAGATCTGAAGCATTTTCTCTCGATCTTTTCAACGGAAACAAATTTGTTGATTTACAGACCTCTCTTTCGCCATCGGAATATTCATCGCTACTAGTTGAACTTGAAGCCGGCGGAGGCATATTTGCGGACCACGGCACTACCTGATTATCGCCGTCCTCCTCCGCCTCATCATCAGAAACACCGTCTTCGTCATTTTCCGCTTCGCTGCCTTCTCGATCGCCACCGTCGACGCACCTATCACAGGCGGAAACCGTGTGACCGAGCTTTGTACCAGCGGCTCTCCACGGCGTGAGAGACTGGCAAGCGTGACAGAGAAGACACCTCACGTGCCTCGCCACGAGAAAGTTGGCTCCGTGCACTTTAGCATCACAGTCCCAGCACAGACTCGCTTTGTCCGACTCACAATACGTCCTTGCCGCCAAATCGCAGAGCTCACACCTCTTCATTTCCCTTCTTCTTTCAACCGAAATCAGAGAGAAGCTTTGGCTTAAGCCTATCTGCCGGTTTCTTCTTTCGTTTTCTAGGGGAATATTTTTTATTTCAAGAATTTTCTCTTTCTTGTATATGGAGAGAATGAGCGATTGGAAAGGAAGAGGAAAAGACATCAAACTGCACTGGCTTATAGACACAGCCTTCCTCTTTCTCCAAATTACAAATTTACCATTAAAAGTACTCCCAGTTTACCAAGCAAGCTGGCAGCGCCACCACCACTAACATATATTGTTTCTACAAAGATACTAAAATAAATCAATTAACTCCTTGAAATTACTTTTTTCACCTTACAGATTTATTTAATTTTTTTTAATTTGAAACCTTATATTTTTATAAATAGATTTACTTATACTATTCAAACAAGTCTAATAATATAAAAATACGATCTTTCTATTCCTGTAAATAGAATGGGCAATGCGAAGTGAAACAAAATAAACTGACAGGGCCAAATATGTCATTTAGAAACTGTACGGAAGGAGAGTATTTGCCGAATTGGAAAGAAACGATAGTGAAGGGGTGTGGCTGTGGTGGAAACAACTGCCACGTGTTCGGAGGTCATAAATATGTATTTATTTATATATGGCATTAAATTAAGCCCAGTACCTTTTGCTTCGGCCTTCGGCTTCGTTTCCTCGGTTTGTTTAGAAAAGAAGAAGATTTTTTTTATTATTATTGAGTGGTGGCAGCGTACAACGAGTTATCTGCTTTCCTTGGGTTAGTTAGAACCGTGACTGTGGCCATGTGTCGTTAGTGGAGCGCCGAGATTCAGATTCTCTTCCTCGCTTGCAGGGTCCATGATCAGCCACGTGGCTTGCCTTGATTCGGATCCATTGCTTGTACGTCCCACTGTTTTGCCCATCTCCTCTCCATTTGCAGCTTCATATCACTGGCAAAGGCAAAAATATCTTAACAACCGCTATGGCATTACCATGTTGAAGTAATCTCGCTAGGGCTGTTCAGAAAAAATCAATTGGTGATCTGACCCTTCATCCGTTAATCTAATAAAAGTAAATAAACATATTTTTTAAATAAAAAATAGAGATAATAAGTATTGTTTTCGACCAACGATTACACACTTGGTCTATAGAGATGTTTTTAAGTCCTATAGTGACGTTTTAATGCATTGCTAAAACAGCTACCGACGCAAAAAATAAAGCACCACAACAAGAGTAAAGCAACCGCCACAATTGTTAGCGGCGTATATGAAATAAAACGCTGCAAAAAGGTTATGTCTTTAGTTGTGTTTTTTGAACAAACGCCAAAAAAAAGTTAGATCATTTAGTTTACAAAATTCAAATAAAATATAATGTACTTCAATATCATTAACTACAATAAACAATGACAAGAGCACTTTAAGCAATGCAAATTCTAGTCAATGTCTTAGTCGGAGTGTCTTCTCTCATTAGCAAAGTCATCATGTCACGATCAGGAAGATACTTCATGATAGATACTTAGTATCTTGAAAATAATAATAGTGTTTTTTTCTCAAACTGGCAGCTTCTGCAAGGAAACTCCTGTCAGCTCTCACATGTTCAACCTATGTTACGTGCACAATCTGTGAGTCTAATGAAATGAAACAAGTAGGAAAATAACATGAGAGAGAGAGAGAGAGAAAGATATTTTACACGCATAATCTGTGAGTCTTCATTGCTCCTTTATGTGGAAAAAAAAGTAAAAAAACAATTTTCCTTGTTAGATGACTCATGGTTAAGTTTTTCCTTCGTGTAAATTGTAAATGGAGAACATCTTCATCCATTTCACCAAATAAATCCACTAGTTCCGGGTCACCAAGAAGACTCCTTGCATGCTTTAATGCTTCAGTTGAAACATATAACGATGCTTTTGCAAAAAAAAAAAAAAAAGAGCTCAGTTCTATAATTTCACGATCATCTTGGTAAATATAGTAAATGATTTTAGTAACCTATGCTCTTTGGTTTTAGTTATTAAACCAAAAAAATAAAGTAAAAGAGAGAAGCGTTTACTTGAAGTAACAGTAAAGGTGGCGACGATTTCATCGATGATAGATAATATTTTTGCAATTGAAGATTCTTTCAACGTCACAGATTTCCCCAATTCGGTTCTAAACATCGGGTATTTATCTACTCCTCCACCATCGTTCTCAATAAGCTTCAAATATCTAGCATAGGATATATGAAATTTGAGAGCACAAAATAAATATATAGAGGCGAAAAGATTCGGAGATTATTACGTGGAAGCAGGAGATCGGCCATGGAAGGGTGTAGAGCAACCGGAGCTCCATTCAGGTCATCATCGGGTTTCAACGGTAGTACCGAACCGAAAACCTCCGAGCGATAATTTAATCCGGCGTGAAAGAAAATCTGCCACAATCAATTTCTTTTTACTCTGTCAATGCATATAAAAGTGGGTTGTAAATTGGGCTCAAAATCAAGGGGGAGAGATTGCAAAACAAGTTTCTAAAGTAATTAGGCTCAAAATCAAAACCCCAGATTATTTGACATATCTGGATTTCGGTGACTAAACCAAATACATGACGAAGCATCATCAATCAATGACAAAATTTAAGCTCAAAAGTATTGTAAATTGAGAAGAAGAAAAATACAAGGTGGTATGATGCTATGGTCACTGAAGCAAGTGTTTGGCAACAATGTTTTTAAATAGTGAATGCTGAGAAACTAGAGCATCAACAAACGTGAACAACCAACTCAACAGGACAATAACATATTCCATTTACTGTTTGGGAAATGATGAAATACAAACGTCATTACACAAGCTTGGCAACAATATGGTATAATTGTTTTAATTGAATAATAATCGAATCACTTAAATATGAACCTTACCTTACTCTACAGTCATTATTACAACAATCATAGAAACCAGGCAGCATATTAAGGTAATGAAACTCAACCGTCAACAACAAGGTGACCTATTCGGTAAATTCATAGCTAAAGAACCTAATGAACAAACTGCACAAGATATTATTCTCTTTTTATGACGAGTTCTTTATATACACCTTCGAATTCGGTCTTTGTAAAGGTACTCATTCTTCATATAAGAAATCATGCGAATTAGGAATCCTAGGAAGAGAAGTTATTCCTCACTGCAGAACGGAAATTTTCGAAGCAAAGCATAGCCAAAAGAATCCCACTGTTGATAATCATCAAGCATTGAAGATTTCGGGGGAATTTGGCAAACAACTGATAGTTGGTAGTTGATTCTAGTAGCTGGTTCGACCAACTGATTTGATTAGCTGATTTGGAAAACTGATTTGATTAATTGTTTATATAGAAGTGTTTGGTAAAATTTAGCTGATAGCTGATATGAGTAAAATAACAAATAATGATATGATACATTTAGTTGTTAAGTACATATATGTTCTATAATACTTTAGTCTTTATTGGGGTCAAATTATTTGGATAAAATGCTTTTGACAAGAAATTAAAAATTCCTTAAAGAAAATTAATTAATATTTTTGAAAATTTTAAATATATTTTTAAATTTAATATTTACAAATATTAACCTTGTGATATTGATATATACTATTAACTTTGTATAAAATATCAATACTACATTTTTTTACTTTCATGTTTTCTTTTATATTTTCTTAACTAAAATATATTTGAGAATCTACAGCTAAAAAAATAAAATTTCACTAAAATATATTAGGATGAAGGCTATTTCATTAGATTAGGTTTTATGGCAAGGATGTAATTACGGAAAAATAAGGTCAAATATGTCATTTAATATCTTATTTTGCAATCAGATCTTCCAAACTGTTGGATTTTCCAACGTTTACATTTTCAGCTCATTTTACATAATATATTTTTTCAAAAAGGTATTTACCAAACACTAAAAGTGGAGGGTTTAACTACTAATCAACTTTTTATGCTCAAATAAGCTAAAAGTTATTCAAAAGTTGTTTACTAAACACCCTTTCATATTTTAATATTTCACCAAGATTATCTATATGAAAAACAAGCTACTACAAAAGAATGATAAAATGTAAAACAAAAATATACTTACATCATCCAACAACAGATCGTTGCCGTAAATACCAGTGCTACGTGGAGCCTGCATAGTGAAACATCGAAAACCAGTTTTTCAATGAGAGCAGTGAAAAGCTAGGGAGAATCACTCTTTACGGGGGGAGAACTATTTTAGTGGAGTATTTCTTGGTTGTTATATATTGAGTAGAGGTAAAACAAACAATGAGATGCATCGTTAACACACAAAAAAAAAAAAAAAAGAATAACAAAAGGGAATGAAGAAGATAATATAAATCATGATTTTTTAGTTTAGTATTGTCGTAATCGGTTTTCGCCCGGGCACGAAATTTCCTTGGCAGAAAAAGTAATGTGAATAAATAGATGGTTTTTATTGAAATGTTTTGAGAGTCACCATCGACCTTTTGGGTTAGGTAGGTTGGATACTTACAAATCATCTTTTAAAAGAGTTTTTAAGAAAACATCAGTTAAAAGATAAACCGGTCTGCGTTTAACAAAAAATTCACTGTGTTTAACCAAAAATTCGTTCTTTTTAATAATAAAAAGGGATTCGTGGTCGGTTACGTTTGGGGAAGGATTAGCACCCCTACAATACCCAAAATTGGTCTTTGTCGATTATAAATTGTCTCTAATAATAGAATTTAAGAATTCGAATATAAATTTAATTTATGATTCCGTTGTTCTAGATTCAAAATAATTTTTATAAAACTAAAGTAAAAATATATATTTTTAGGGTTTTATAAATAGGGCATTTATTTAAAAATATTAGAAAATGACATCTAGTTGCTTTAAGACAGCCCCTTTCTTTAATATTAATAAATAAATAAATATAAAAATATGATATTTTTTCCTAAAAAATAATTTAAATAAAACTAAAGTAATATATATATATATATATATATATATATATATATATATATATATATATATATATATATATATATATATAGCTTGATATTTGTTTATTTAAAAATATCAAAATAAGACCTCTAGTTAATTTAAGACAACCCATTTCTTAATATTAAAAAAATAAATAAATATTATTATTTTTGAAATTAATCAAATAATTCTTATGAATTTTTAATATATATGTATATATATAAAATAAAGATAAAATAAAGAACTATAATTAAAATATTGAAATACAATAATAAAAATAAATAAAATTGTAATAAAAAGTGACCAAAATAAAAGAAATTAAAAGTAATAAGACTAAAACATAAAGTATATAAATTAAAGACTCTATGTCAAATTATTAAAAATCTATATACGGATAGTGTAATTTATCCTTAATTATTAATCAGTGATTAAAATGTAAAATATTAAATTTACAGTGGCTAAATCGGTCATTTTACCTAAAATATATAAAAGCATATCATGGACTAAATTATAAAGTAAATAAAATTATAAGACCGAATTAAAAGTTCAGGATTTGATTTCAGTGACCAAAATGTAAGGATATAAAACTATTGGCACTGCGGAAAGGGTTTGCCCATACGCGCAAATTACGCATATATCCCCTACCCAAAACGATGTCGTTTGGGAGGGGTATATAAACCCTAAATGGTCAGCCCTTCGGGACATTCTTCTCATTTCTTCTATTCTCATTCTCTCTCTATTTAAGAGAGAGTAAAAAATGCTTTTCCCTCTCTCTAGGTTTCCCTCACCGGAGGGAAACCGATCGACGACTGGCAGCCTTACGCCGCCGCTGACACCGTCGCTGGTGGCCGGAAAATACAATATACCCTCAAAAGATAGATCGGAATGATCTAAGACCAAATTTGACCCCCGTTTTCTCTAAAATGCCTCAGATTTTTTGTAGATCTAAAGAAATACCTTCGGTATTTCGACCTCGATGGTGGCGCGTGGAGGCGTGTGTGAACTCTGGTGACAGCGCCGCTTCTTCGGTAAGTCTCTCTCTATTTTTGTATTTGGATATTTGGTGATTTGGTTGTTGTTCTTTTTCTTTCTTGCAGGAAGTCGATGGTTTTTTATAACCATCACCGGTGATGGCTTCAGACCGGTTATGAAGATGAGTTTCGGTGAGTCACCGAACTTGTGGTGACTCACCGAAGAATGGCGAAGCGTGTGCAGCTGGCAGCGTCTTCTGGACCCTTCGGTTGGCGTCGTGGCAATGGGTGGAGCGACGTTGGAGGCGACAGCCGCGTGGTAACAGAGGAGGCGTCAACGTTGCCCTAGGGTATCATAACCCTAGGGTTTCATCTGGAGGCCCTTGGACTGTTGGATCTCACAAGATCCAACGGCTGCTATTTGTTGGCGGCTGATGCTGAGATAATATAAACCCTAATTAAGTTTAGGGTTTCCTTTGGGCTGACTCAGTTGGGCTCTTGGTTCTGGGCCCTGATTTGTAATTGGGTTGGGTTTAGGACATGTAATAGTTTAATAATAATATTAATAATAATAAATAATAATATTATTAATAATAAATAATAAATAATAATAAATAATAAATAAAATAAATAGAGAAAAAAATGATGTCTACAACTGCCCCTCTTTGCTCATTCTTGTGTCAACAAGAATAGAGAAAAGATGAAAAAGACAATAAGTTTTTTGTCCATTTGACCTTTCTTGATTAGGATAGAAATGTTGAACAAGTTCTTCTCATTATGAACTTCTTCCACTTTTTGGGATTAGTTCTTCTCATTATGAACTCTTCCACTAGGAATGATAATCCATTTCATTCTGTGATGAAATCTAGCAAAAGGTTGAACAAGTTCTTCTCATTATGAACTTCTTCTTCTTCTTTAGATGAGTTCTTCTCATTATGAATTCCTTCTTGAAATGCTGATCCTCAAAAGAGGTGTCATTGATTCGACTTCATATGTGATGAATTAAGGCAAGGTTGAACAAGTTCTTCTCATTATGAACTTCCTCTTCCTCTTCAGATGAGTTCTTCTTATTATGAACTCTCTGAAAATATTGATCCTCAAGGGAGGTTCTTCTTTCATTCAACTCTGAATCAAGCTAAGGTTGAACAAGTTCTTCTCATTATGAACTTCTTTTTCCTCTTCAGATAAGTTCTTCTAATTATGAACTTTATCTGGAAATGTTGGTGCTGATCTATCTCCTTCTGTGATAGAGTCAAGCAAAAGGTTGAACAAGTTCTTCTCATTATGAACTTCTTCTTGCTCTTCAGATGAGTTATTCTCATTATGAACTTCCTCTGGAAATGTTGGTGTTGATCTATCTCATTCTGGGATAGAATCGAGAAAAAGGTTGAACAAGTTCTTCTCATTATGGAATTCTTCTTCCTCTTCAGATGAGTTCTTCTCATTATGAACTTCCTCTGGAAATGTTGGTGTTGATTTATCTCCTTCTGGATAGAATCGAGCAAAAGGTTGAACAAGTTCTTCTCATTATGAACTTGTTCTTCCTCTTCAGATGAGTTCTTCTCATTATGAACTTCCTCTGGAAATGTTCATCAATCGAGTTATGGATTCAAATCTTTGCTGAAATCTTTGAAATTCCTGTCAAATATTCAACATTGATAAAATGAATGGAAATGCCCATATTTTTGTAAATGCCTAAATATTATGCATGAATGTTAAATTCATATTTATTTGACTTCAAAGTGGCAAACTCGGTCTTCCTTCACTTGGTTAAAATGTCATTTCAAGCTGGCATTTCTGATGAACCATCTGATCCACTTGCATCTTTGTGTCTTCTTTATTTCATTAAAGTCTTATAAGAAATGTTTCTTTTATGAAAATCTTACCGTAATCAAAATTATGACATTGATGCCCCATTTTGTCCTAGATAACATCAGCTTTCTTTGCTTATAGTTGTGTAGAAACCCAATAAAGCTTTCATCTTTGAAAAGAGAATCTATCATCTTTGAAGAATGAATCTATCATCTTTGAAGAATGAATCTATCATCTTTGAAGAATGTAGATGTAGATATGCCCAAATCAGCAGAGATTAATTAGTAGAGCAGCGTTTGTTCTAATTTGACTCTTGAAACACATTACAAGGAGGATTTATACTAATTCCTTTCATGTCTCCACATTTAATCGGATCTCGAACAAAGTTATTCACACTATATCATATCGAGATGTTTTAACAACAACCTTATCATTCAACCTTAGTTGGCTCCACTAGTTTCTTGTTGTTAAAATTTCAGCGTCCCTCTTATGAAAAGAAATCTTCATCATTTTTCACTTCTAATCTTGGGGTTGATGAAGAAAAATTTCATCTTGGTTCCATAAATGGAAATACCATATGATCGCAATATTGGTTCAGCACCATAACTGGTTCGTAAACCATTTGATAACACATTCATCATTTCATGTGGTTTTTGCATAGATGTTCGTAAAACATTTGACAACACATTCATCATTTCCTGTGGCTTCTGCCCAGATGTTTGTAAAATATTTGACAACATATTCATTCTTTCCTGTGGCTTCTGCCCAGATGTTCGTAAAATATTTGACAACACATTCATCTTTGCATGTGGCTTCTTCCCAGATTTCTCAATCAGTGAATGCTTTTTGCATAATGTTTAGAGCTTTTGTATGATGTTACAAAAACATCAAGAACAAAATTCAGTGGGAATACAAGGGGGATATTTGTGACTTTCATGACCAAAAAGTTGGTCAAATTCACAAAATATACTAGTGCCGAATTGAATAAGAGATACCAACTAATCTTGATATCATATCGGGCAAGGGAAAGTATGATACCGATCATGTTTTCTTCCGTAATTAGTGTTGTAGGAAGTAGAAACACATCAACTATAGGAGCCATGTATAGAAAGAGGTCCATGGAATTCTTGTTGCTGTAGATAAAATGCACATGCTAAAACAAAATAGATGAAAACTCAGTTCACCCTGACTGGCAATGGTAACCCCAGTAACAACGAGAATAAGGGTAATATACGAAAGCTGAGCCTCCCTCTTCAATGTCATCAAGTAAGCGAAAACTGTTGAGAAAAACGGCTTCGTAGTCCCAACAGCATGATTGAAACTAATTGGCAGGAACCTCAAAAAAATATTCCCAATCATCACCGACGCATAAAAGACCAAATTCAAAGTCAAGATCTTGAGGAACTGAACCTTGGATCGAATGATATATATGGGGACCATCTTTATCCATGCAACTTTTATGTAGCTTAACAAAGAACACGCTGTCATGTGACAATGATCTTTCCATAAGATGATATGGGCCTTTAGCATGCCCCAGTATTTGCTGATATGAACGTTCAAAATGTGTCAACATTCATATTTCTGATTGAAATGGGCTTTCAGCATGCCCCAAAATTTGCTTCTTGTTGATGTGAGCTTTCAAAATGCCCCATAAGAATTATTTTTGTTTGAATTAGGCATTCAAAATGCCCCAATATTCTATTTCTCATTGAAATGGGCCTTCAAGATGTTCTACATGAATCTTTCTGAATTAGGCCTTCAAAAATGCCCCAACATTCTAAACTGTAAGGCTTACTCTCAATGTTTGTTTGATTTGAATATAATGATCCCTATGAGGTCCAATTTAGCTAATACCCCATTGAGGGTACTCGTGATCTGTACACAAAGCTGTTAATCTTGAATGCTCTCATTCTGGTGTCATTAAACAACGGCGTTGTTCAGTAACTTAAAGATTTTCCTGTTGTTGCCACAATCATTTAAGAAGTAATAAATCATTCTGACATAAATGTCTGAGATATGTGACTCTTCTGAATGAGGTGTCCATTTTCTGGATCTGGAGGGATCTAGTCGGATAGAATGGTATAAATCGCTTGGTAATCCAGTCCAGGCCGACACAATGACTTATCATCTTTCGGTTTTAAGAAACTTGTTCCCCAGGGGTATCAATGTTCTGTCCCTTTTATCTGGGATCGGTGGTGCAGAGATTGTCCTTTACCAGCTCAGCATACCTTTGAAAGCAGATGTGCAAGAACTGAATGATGATCGGTTGGAGCAATTGATGAGTAGATTTGGCGGATTTGACCTTATTGTCGGTGGCATCCCGTGTAACAACCTTACTGGAAGAGATAAACATCATTAGGATGAACTAGAAGATTTTTTTCGGTGCATTTTCTTGCAATGACTGCTACAACGACTTTCTTTTCTGTTTCTCCAAGATATGCACTGCCATATCCCACTCTTCCCAAATCATGAAAATGTTTAGTTGATGATAAAACTGGTTATCTCTACTTTTGGAATCCCGTAACCAATGTTACTTAATATGACAAATCTATAAGTGTAGAATCTGTTCCAATATCTTATTTTGTCCCTATAAGTTCTCAAATTCAAGTTCAACAATCTTCTGAAGGACATAATGGATATAATCCTGACAAAGAAAATGATCGGCTTGGAAGATGCAGCAATGATGTATCAAGACTTGAGCCAATATCATAGTATAACTAGAGTGTAAGTGGTGGACTTGTTCATTCCTATAATACACCTTAATGGGACTTATAGCTCTGTGATGTAATCTTCTAAGGGACATGGATTGGTGACTGAGGAAACTAATTTGTCTGGTGATGCTTACCACCATCAGTATGAGAAAAGTGTCCCTTTTAAATAGGATAATCTTTCTTGATGAGTTGCTAATAATGTCACAGGAGAGGCATTACAAGTTCAATTCTCCAGACTTTCTGGACTCTCAGACCCCTTGCCTTCAAGAAAGTGAAATACTTCATCATTCTGGCCTCGCTCATTCTTTTTCTTCAATAGAGGTAGAATAGGCAACAATTTGTTTTAAGGACCTTCCTCATTTTAGACTGTCCTATTTGAAAAATGTTTTTCCTCCTTTTTTTATCGAAGAATGAAAGAATTTTATAAAGTATTGCTCTTTACAGGTTCACAATATAATCAAATCATAAAACATGAGTTTAATGAATATCAAATAAATCAACTACACTTTTAAATCAAAAAATCATAGTCCTATGGCAAGTGTCAAAATTATTGACTGATTTAAGGTGTAGGTTGATTCTAGTAAAGTAAGGTCTATCAGATTGATCCATCATATATGTCACTTTGAGCTTCCACTAACTTGAAGAAGTAGTTGTTATGCTCATCTCATAGAGATACTTATTGATTCCAAAATTTCAGGAACGTCTTTGGGATGTGCGTTGCTTCATCAAGAGCTTAAGATCGTCTCTTATGTCTTTGTTGCACCATTCGATATTCGAATCGTCTTTTTAGGTTTTCGACTCGAATCCTCCTTTGGTTTCAAGATGTTATTTAGAAATTTTACGTCTTGAACCCCCTTTTATCATTTTTCATATCATACATTTAAAGATTTTAAAAAACCAATTATTGTAAATAAAATCAATCCTGAGAAGTGGAATGAAATATGAAGATAGTCTCTTTCACATATAAATCCATGTATGATTAGAATGGACTTTTCAGGTACGTAACGTAGGCCAGGGCTCATGGTTACGAAATAAAGGGATAAAAATACCCAAACAAGTGTTTAAGGGTAATTGAACCAAGGATCAAATCATTCTGATGCCTTCAATCTTGCCTTGCTTGACTTGGATTTGCTTTGCTTACTAGTATTTCATTATTTCTTTTTATGGATCCCTCTAGACTGCCAATTTTTGAGTTCATTTCCATTTTCTTATATTTCTAGCATTTCTTACGCTTCTTGTTGAATATGAATCTTTGAACTAATTTCACTTGATCAACCTTGTAACTTGATGCTCGATGAGTCACACATCTTGATTCAATTTCTTTTTTTCTCTTTTTGTTTTTTTTGTTTTTTTTGTTTTTTTTGTTTTTTTTTTGTTTTTTTTTTGTTTTTT